GTTTCAATACAGTTATTTGTTTACTGGCTAAAAACTCCCTCACAGATAGTGCCATGTGAGCTGGTGCATTGTCGTGATCCAAGAGCCATAAATTGTTGGTGAAAAGCTCAGGTCATTTTTGTCTAACTTATTCACACAGTCTTTTCAGCACTTCCAAATAGTAAACTTGGTTAACTGTTTGTCCAATTGATACAAATGTATAATGAATAACCCCTCTGCTATCAACAAAGATTAGCAACATCGCTGCAACAATTTCACGAACTTAATTGTCACAGGTTGTGGAATACAACATAAGGAATATAGTCAATGGAATTGTAACAGATAAATACAATGTCAAAGGGGTAGTAGATGGAGGAGGGGAGGTTATCACTTCGTGAGGGGTGTAAATGACTAACAATTACATTTTTTTGTACACCTGAAAATAATTTAAAAAGTAACAATTTGTATTTAAAATAAATTTTACATTAAATACAACTCATGAATTCCCATTAAAGAAACCAAAAATCTAAAAGGACCCATGAAAGAAATGTTGAAATTGACAATGAGCATACAAAGTTTTCTATTAAGGTATTTCCCACAGAATAAAGTTTTTTCAAATTATGTCTATGAAGCTAAGAGTTTTGTTTCTTTCAGAATTTAAGATACCGCAGTAATCTCGAGGCGATTTGTCTTAGCTTGCTGTTTCCCAAAATTAGAATAAATGAGTGGCCTGAGGGAAAGATAGTTGAAATCACCATGAGAAGCATCATGACCTGATATTTCTGTATCTTAATGAAGAGCCAAACTGCTAGTAGAGTAGAAATAACATAAATGATGAAGAGGAGGAGGAAACTTGTCACCATTTTCATGGCCCGTCTATGAGCCTCTGTGCTAGAGTCCCTCGCTGTCAGGTTGAGCTGTAAGTTCTTGGTGTGTCTCACCAAGGACAGAAATAAAAGAAGCAAAGAGGTCAGCGACAGGAGAAAGGGGATAACATAGGTCAAGCTAAGAAGAAGAAGAGTTTTAAAATAGAAAATTTTCTTTAGATCTAAATGCAAAGTCATGTTCCTTTCAGGCACTCTATAGGCATTCATCCACAACTCACTAACAGTATCCTGTATTGCAAGGTTAACAGGCAACAAGAAGAAAGACCCCAGGAAAAACACAAGAAGCACTCTGTTCACTCTCGACTTCAGCCAGATGAAAAAGAAGTGGGAGAAATTTGCTATCTTAAGGAAGTAGAAAATGCTTAGGCAGGTGGCAAACCAGGTAGTTAAGTGATTAGTTAGTGTCCAAAGAAGGGTAACCACTTTTTCTAGTTTCCCAGCAGCATACAGGTGTGGAAATAGCCCCATTACAAATGAATCCAGTAGTATTACCCATAGTTGAGTGATTCTTGCCATAGCCAAGCCAGTGAGGATGAAATCAGCTGAGGAGACCTTCCCATTCCTGACCCATGCGATGCAGTTTACCAGTCCAATGAACCCATTTCCCAGAATTCCCAAGATGAGTTCTCCTGTTAACACAACCAGAAAGGAGACCTGCATTCCAAATGACATGTTTATAAAAATAGTTCTAACGTTGTATCTCACTGACAGCTTTGTCGTTAAACAGTTGCAGACGGACGTCCATTTATGATGTTTTCTGTAAATGTTTTCCTCATAATTACGGAAAACACAAACAAAATTCTGCTATGTGATCTAGTTTCAGAGAGCTTCACAAAAGAATAGTTCATTTTACTTACATTGTAATTCCAGTGCTAAACCGAACAGCTCTGTTAAGAGACACAAAGCTTCATGAATACCTGTTGTATTACATACGGTCAGCTACTACATAATTTCCAGAGTAAACACAAATGATATCCACTTATCCTGGCACCAGCTGCAAATTTCCATTTGTGCCACTGACAAAAAGGATGAAGTCAAGTGTGTAAACATGCAAATACGAGGGAGATCATTTTCCACTAATTTGTACTTTCATCTCCCTGAGCCATACATTTAAATGCAAATATTTTAAATTTTGAATAGAAATGGCTAGGAAAAAATCTTTACATCATTCAGTCATTATTTGTTACTCATCCATAAGTTCCTTTTACCTATCAAGTATTTTTGTTGGTAAAATTTTATTTATAGAAGTAATTTATTGCAATTATTTCTAGTTCGAAGAGCACAGCCGAGTCCTAGAACAAATTACTAAAAATGATGAGTATATGCTATTGTGGAAACTACATCAGAAGTTATAAGTGAAGTATACTGGGAATACACATGAGGAAGCTACAAATGCTGCAATGCAGAATCAATTATGGTTTTATACCGACAGGAATATTTAGCAGAAACTTGAGTTATGTAGTACTTGTGATGAAATAGAGAAACCAATTGATGTAAGGTCATGTCAAATTAACAAAGTGACATGAACAAGCTATGGCACACTTCTAACAGAGAAACTTCTTTTGTTTTACAATAACTTATTGGCTATTCCAATTAAAATGTTACTAAGCGCCCTCCAACATTCACTTCCTAAATTAAATGTTTTTGTCTTCTTTGGGGGCAATTAGAGTGACTATATTTTCAGCCTCCCTTACAGGTGGTTGTGGCAATGTGATTGAATCTGAACAATGTCTTGTGAGTGAAAATTATGTGCACCATTTACAAGTCCTTCTCCCCAAAAATTTCCCTGCGTATACTCTTTATTTTTTCTTTTCCTCTTTTTTCTTTTTTCTTTTTATTATTTTTATCTTAAAGTTTTAATGTACAATTAGAAGGTTTATGATACAAATTCCCCCTCTACTTTTCCATTGGTTTTCTTTATAGTACACTTACATTTTTAAAAATATTTTTATCAAAATATAGCTAACATACAATATTAGTTCCAGGTATACACCATAGTTAGTCAACATTTATATACCTACAGAAGTGATCACCACAATAAGTCCAGCAACCATCTGACACCATACCATGCTATCACAATATTACTAACTATATTTCCTATGCTGTATATTACATCCTCATGACTTATTTGTTTTATACCTGAAAATCTGGACCTATAATTCCCTTCACCTTTTCCCCCATTTTTTAATTTTTCAATTATAGTTGACATTAAATATTATTTTACATTAATTTCATGTGTACAATATAGTGGTTAGACATTTGTGTAATTTAAGAAATGATCCCCCTCACTAGTCTAGTCCTCTCCTGGCACTATGCATAGTTATTACCATAGTATTGACTATATTCCCTGTGCTTTACTTTACATCCCCATGACTGTTTTGTAACTACCAATTTGTACTTCTTAATCCCTTCACCTTTTTCACCCTGCCCCCAATCCCCTCCCATCTAACATCCCAACAAATCTAGAACCCACATTACACCATGCATAGTTATTGGGTTGTTGGCAAAGTCATGACGTATTTTTTCTATGTTTTTCGTCGCAAAAATGCGTCATGACTTTTCCGACAACCCAATATTACAATATTATTGACTATATCCCTTATGCTATACCCTACATCCCCATGACTACTGTGTAACAACAAATTTGTACTTCTTAATCCCTTTCCCTTTTTCACTCACTCCCAACCCCTCTCCCATCTGGCAACCATCAATATGTTCTCTGTATCTCTGAGTTTGTTTCTGTTTTGTTTATTTTGTTCTTTAGATTCCATATATAAGAAAAATCACATCACATGTCTTTCTCTGTCTTACACACCACTCAGCACAGTACCTCCAGGTCCATCCATGCCACCAAAGATGGCAAGAACCCATTCCCTTTCATAGCCAAGCAATATTCCATTGTATATATGTACTATCTCCTCTTTATCCATTCTTCTATCGACAGACACCCAGGCTGCCTCCACATCTTGGCCATTGTAAACAATGATTCAATGAACATATGGATGCACATGTCACCTCAAATTTGCATTTGGTTTTCTTCAGATAAATACCCTAAAGTGGATTACTAGGTCCTTCTCTTTGTCTCTTGTTAATAGCCTTTGTTTTAAAGTCTATTTTGTCTAGTGTAAGTATTGCTACCATAGCTTTTTTGTTTGCTTTTTTCATTTCCATTTTCATGAAATACCTTTTCCATCCTTTTACTTTCCATCTGTGTTTTTGTTTCAATCTGAAGTGAGTCTCTCATAGGCAGCATATGTAAGCATTTTGTTTTCTTATCCGTTCAGTCCTCCTATGTCTTTTCAGTGAAGCATTCAATCCATTTACATTGAAAGTAATTATTGACAGATATGTAGTTATTGCCATTTTATGATTCATAGTTTTTATCTTTTTTTTTTCTATCTTAAAGAAGTCCCTCTAACATTTCCCATAATGCTGATTTGGTGGTGATGAACTCCTTTAGCTTTTTCTTATCTGAGAAGCTTTTTATCTGTCCTTCAATTCTAAATAAAGGCTTTGCTGAGTAGAGTAATCTTAATTGTAGGCTCTTGCTTTTCAACACATTGAATATTTTGTGCCAATCCCTTCTGGCCTGCAAAGTTTGTGTTGAGGAGTCAGCTGACAGCCTAATAGGAGCTCACTTATAAGTTACTAGCTGCCTTTCTCTGGCTACTTTTCAGATTTTCTCTTGGTCTTTAACCTTTGTCATTCTAATTATGTGTCTTGATGTGGGCCTCTTTGGGTTCATCTTGTTTGAGAATCTCCATGCTTCCTGGACTTGTATGTCTATTTCCTTCACCAAGTTAGGAAATTTTTCAGTCATTATTTCTTCAAATAGATTCTCAATCCCTTGTTTTTTCTCCTTTCCTTCTGGTACCACTATGATGCAAATGTTGTTATGCTTGATGTTGTCCTGGAGTCTCTTAAACTATCCTCATTTTTTGGATTTTTTTTTTTTTTGCTGTTCTGATTGGGTGTCTTCTGCTACCTTGTCTTCCAAATCATTGATTTGATCCTCTGCTTCATCTAGTTTGCTGGTGATTCCTTCTAGTGCATTCTTCATTTCAGTTATTGTATTTTTTCACTCCTGACTGGTTCTTTTTTATGATCTCTAAGTCCTTTTTTATGCTTGCTCTCTATTGAACTTCTTACTAAGTTTCTTGAGCATCCTTATAATCATTGTTTTGAACTCTGGTAGATTTTTTGTCTCCATTTTGTTTAGTTTTTTTTCTAGAATTTTCCCATTCTTTCATTTAGAATGCTTTTCTTTGTTTCCTCATTTCAGCTGCCTCTCTGTTTGTTACTATCTGTTAGGTAGATCTGCTATGTCTCCCAGTCTTGGCTGGGTGGCTTTATGTCTTTCCCACTGTGGCTGGTGGGGCCCTGGCAGTCTCCCTGGTCACCTGCTCAGGGTGCTCCAGGAGTGTCCGTTGTGTGGGTTGTGTGTGCCCTCCTTTTATAGTTGAGCCTTGATTATTACTATTGGTACATCAGTGGGTGGACTTAACCCTCAGGCTGACTGGCTGTGGGGTTTGGACACTTCCACAACTTACCAGCTGCTATGTGGGGGCTTACTTCACTGAGTGGAATTCACCCCAGAGGACTCTCATGCCTGTTGAGACTGTTCTTTGTGTGTACTACTTGTGGGGCTAATTGGGTTGTCCTCTGTTACGGTCTGATGGCAACCTCCAAGTATGTTCTGGGTCCTCTTGGGAGGGGGCTTCAGTGCAGGCCCATGTCACCCACTGCCTGTGACTGGCTGGTGAGTACCTGGTAAGAACTATGAAGTGATCCATCGTTGGTCACTACCTGTGCTATACCTGGAAGCGTGTGATAGAGGCCACACTGCGAACCAAGGACGGCTGACACCTGTACCCTGTCTGGGGTCACTCCACAAAAAGCCAGGACACTCCAGAGCCTGCTGCCACCTGCCGACTCCCATAAGGTTCAGCCACTGATAAAACCTCCAACAGTCTGCAAGTCAGGTGAGGCAGGGTGTCAGTGAGTCAGCAGAGTGGAGCAACAAAGTTCACCAGGCGAATCAGATTCAAATTTGGCCTGGGGGCGGGCTCAACATAGGAAAGATGGTACCTGCCTGTAGGCTGCATAAGAGAAGAGCCTCACACAGGGAAAATGGGGACTGTCTCTCCAGTCCTCGCCCTATACTTACACAACTCAGTCTCTCCCCATATATCTCTAATTCCCCCAGTCACCATCCCTCTGCCAGGGTGAGTGCCCTCATGGGCCTTTTCAGAGGATGTCTGGACTTCCCGTGGCCTTCCATCCCACCTGGCGAGTCAGAATCCCCACTGTTTTTCACAGCCAGATGTTGTGGGGGCTCATCTTCCCAGCACCAGTACTCCAGGGCTGGGAGGCTGGTGTGGGGTTGGGGTCCCTTGCTCCTCCGTGGGAAACCTCTGTAGCCGAGATATCCCTCCCAATTTTCATCCACCACACAGAGGTTTGGGGCCGACCTGTTTCACATCTCTGCCCCTCCTACCAGTCTCCATTTGGTTTCTTCTTTATATCCTTAGTTATAAAACTTCTGTTCAGCTAGACTTGAGATGAATCTCCAGGTTGATTCTTCTATAATTTAGCTGTAATTTTAATGTGTTCATGGATGAAAGCCGGCAGTTTATCTCCTCCTCCACCTTGGATCTCCTCCCCACACGTACTCTTCAGTAAGGCTTTCTTCCCTGCTTCCCAAGCCCCTGCTGTCTGAAATGGAGATGACTCCAAGGCAATCTTGAAAGCCACATATTCAAGATGGCATACTTGTGTTCAGCCTGATTTCCTGGAGAACTGCACAGAGAAGGCACCTCAGATACATCAGTACTGGTAAAAAAGAAGAAAAAGCAATACTAAATTTAGATTATGTATGAGTCATTTTATGTTTTGGAGCCTATTTGTGACAGCAGTCCATTTATCCAGTCAAAGGCAGTAACTAAAACTGAGTATGTGTACATTTGCTTAGAGGCATTTGAATGGTGAAGAAACAGAACCAGAAAATCTATGCCACCTGCAGGTTTTATGATGGGTTTTGTTTTCATTTGTTTTCCAGAGCTGATGTAGTTTATTCATCCATTTATTTAGTCATTAGAGTATCATTTTGACCAACTATTCTATGGGCTGTTTTTTATGTCTTGAGGAGTCAGCAGGAAACAGGATAGACATGATCTGTGCATTACACTGCTTATATTCTACTGGGGTAGCACATGATTAAAAAGAAATGAATTAATCAGATGTGGGAAAGATTTATCTTAAGGTTTAGATAGTTAAATTTTCATAATTCTAAAAATTAGTATAGACGTGTAAATTCAGTTGTTTAACAAGGTTATACTTTTTTTTATAATAGAACTTGCTACCAAATTTATGTCAACACACTATTTCATCATTTTTCACAGGATTATAAAACAAATCTTAAAGACATTTCTTATAATTATTACATAGACATCATAGATACCATATTCATATATGCAGGAAGCTCATTCCTTGATTTATGTACCATAATTTTTTACTATTCTTATATTGACTGCATATTTACTATTCTTACATTGAAGATAGAGGAGATTAAGTCTTATCTGAGGTTCAAAAGAAATTTTTAGGAAGATGAAGATGACCAGCAATTTAGAGGCCCCATGGTGGTTAAGGAAACTATATAATTTGACATCAGTTTTTTACTTCAAAAATGGTCTTGATTAAAAAATTTTAATAAATGACTTTCCTACCTGCATATGGAAACATAGCAACATTAAAAATGTCATTGTCGGGCCGGCCGAGTGGCGCGATGGTTAAGAACTGGCTTGGGACACCAGAGGGCCCCAGATCGGATCCCACATATGAGGGCCAGTGACACTGCCCTCTACAGCTAAGATGCTGAACAACAGCTCAACCTGGCGCTGGGCTGCTGTGAGTCACCGGTGATGGCGTAGGCTGCAGCCCCTGTGGCAGTGGGTTGCCATGGGCTACCGTGTGTGGTCTGCAGCCAGCGTGAACAGCCAGCAGCCGCCGTGAGCAGCCATCCAGAAGCCGGCGACTGATCTGCCTCTCCCGGGAAGAGCACAAGGATGGTGCCAAATTGGGCCAGTGAACCAACGTCCTCCACAACTAGACTGAAGAAAAAAACGACAGCAACTTGTCTGTTCTCCTTCCCCCAATTCCCCAGCACTGTTCCCAACTCCCCAATTCCCCAATAAAAATCTTAAAAAAGTCATTGTCATTTTTTTCTTCATCCCTATTGTAGAACTTGATTTATTTCTAGCTTTCACCTAATTGTATTAAATATAATAATCTTTAGTACAATTTATTGTGATATATATAAAATTTATTCTAAATATATTTGTCACTTATTTTGTGTGCATCTTTTCTTAGCAACAATTCTGATTGCTTTCTATTAAACATGAAGAATTCATGATGGAATGTCTATCCAAACATCCATCTTCAATGTGTGATTTAGAATTGAATATCCTTACCATCCAAATAATTGGAGATTCAAACAATAAAATCTAAACACACTGTGGTACATGTGTGTGGTACTAATTACAATGGAAAATAGCAATGATTTCTAAGATGAGTTATCAGTCCCTAAAAATGCATATAGATAAAAAATTCTTCAATTGCAAGGTAATAATATAGAATATGTATGTGAAATACTCATGGCTTCATAATCCTAAAGAATTTCTTACAATATTTTGTAAATTTAGATTGCTTACCTGAAAAGAATATAACTTTATAATCTTTCTTGTATTTCTCATAAACATAGATAGATAGATAGATAGATAGATAGATAGATAGATAGATAGATAGATATTTTTGTGATAAACTTAGGTAAAAGATTTTCTAGGTAAATCTTACCCAATCATATACACATTAGAAAAAGCAGTAGGAAGTACAAAATATTAGAGACTCCATCAGTTTGTTTTCAGCTAGAAGATACATGATTCCCAACTTATTTCTTTTCTTTCAGCCAGAATTTCAGCTGCCACAGAAGTGACAGGAAGGCCTGTCTTCGTTTCTTGTTTCCCCAAATCAGGATAAATGAGTGGCCTGAAGGATACAGGATTATAAGAACCTGCCAAAGCACGAGACATCGTTTGTTCTGCTGACTCTTAGAACTCCAAACTGAGATGATTACAGCCAGGAAGTAAACAGCAAAAAGCAAGAGAAAGGAGATCACAGTTTGTATGGCTCTTATGTAAACCTTGGTGCCGGCATCTTGGGATCCTTTGCCACTGAGCTGCATCTTCTTGAGGTGTTTCCACAGGGAAAATATTAACAGCACATCACAGCAGGGACATGGTAAAGGATATGACGCTTGCTAGTGTGAGAACAGTCATATTTGAAAGGTGCACGATATCCCTGAATTTGGTCTTCCAAGTGATGTTTCCTTCATATTCATTCCCCTGCATAGTTTCATCTATGTTTACCACTGCAAGATGAAAAACCAAGACGACCAAAGTTCCCAACAGTGTTATGAGAACTACTCTTTTAATCTTCCACTTTAGGTGAAGAAAAAGAAGGCTAGAGAAATTGGCTACCTTGAGCAAATAAAGCACGCTGAGACTAGTAGCAAGCCAGATGCTACAATGGTTGCTTATTGTCCAGACCATAAAAGCAATGTCTTACTTCTAAACTATATAAAGCTGGGTTAAACACAGTTGCATACCAATTTATTACTAATGTCCAGAGCAAACCAATCCTGGAGACCGCCAGAGCACTGAGAATTCCATGAGCTGTGGAGATCTTTTGTCTCTTGACCCAGTCAATGCAGTTCACCAGTGCTATGAAGACATTGGCAAAATTTCCTAGAACAAACTCTATCATTACTAGGATGGTAAAAATGTTTGGCAGGAAAGTCATCATGTCTAAAAAGAAAAAAAAAGGCCTAGACTAATATCGCTGGTTCCAATTTATTTAATATTCTGACCTTAAGTTCTGTGTGCAGCTGATTTCTGAATTTGCAGTAAAGTTCCCTTTTCTTTTCAATTCTGTGACCAATGTGAAGCAGGGAATTATCACAGTATGAGTTCAGTGCTGTCTTTATAAACAACAAAAACAAACAAACAAAAATGAAAAACATTCCCTTATAGCTCAAATTGACTCTTATTCATATAGTGTATGAATCTGCCAAGGGCTGGATAATTTCAAAATTGATGTTGAAGTGAAAGCTGAATTCTCATTTGTTAGCATGCAAATAGAAACGTTGTTTTGCAATTTTTCCTTGTTTAACCTCTCCATAATTTGTGTTCACCAACATTTGCTGTTTGTTAGTAAAATTTTAAAACCCAATACATAGAACATATAGTGATTGTCCAAATTATTGGATGCAGCTTAATCATAACTAGAATGATCATTACTATGAATTTTTTTTTTTGATACCAGAATTACGTAGAAAAAATTCAAACTTTTCCTATCCAAGGTACCTAAAATTTTCTTGGGAACTCCAGGAAGGCCAATACACCCTAAAAGCTAGTTGCTGATAACTAATACTTATGTGTAACTTTATTGTCTGTAAGTTTATAAACATGCACACACACACACACATCACACAAATACACATATATCTCATGAATGGAACTATTGTCCTAAACTTTCCAAAATGTAAAATCAGTGTCAGGAGTTCATACAGGTCTAAATGCTGCTTTTCTCCCATGCAGACTTTTCTACCCATTATTAACACTATCAAACATATCTCTCAGGATAAAGTTTCCCTTTTGAGTCTATTTAACATTTAAATGTTAATTAAAATATTCAGTGATTTTGTAAATATTCTTTGGGCATGTCAAAATAACCCGTATTTTCCATTGCAGGATCCAGACTTCCATATATGAATATTTGGTTTTATTTTTGTTTAATTCATTTTTGACTTAATTTTTTTAAGAATTAGTAGATATTAAAATCAGCTTCTACCCTTGGATTTTAAAGTTTCAATTTTTACAGTATAATTGTTTTTAGGGGAGGATCTTAGAGGTGGACTGCCAGGATGGAAAACCCAGATTCTCTGCTTCATACATCTCTCACCTTGGGCTTTTTTAAAACTACTCTGCCTTATCAATAAAAACTCAGATGATACCCTCTTTGGGTGGTCTTTGAGAGGAGTAAGCATCCTATCTTTGCAGAGTGCTTTCAATTTGCTTGTCTGGTAGACCCAGCAGGCACCAAGGAATATTACCCAATTTCACCCATGTTGTTTGATACTTCAGAGTTAACCTGGAAGAACTTCCATTTAATGAGTACAATGCAGAGGTTGAAAAGGAAAGATTTCTTCCTGCAACAACTAGGATAAAGGGAACAAAATGTCAAAATTATTTTTTAAATGCATGACAGAGCTGTATTAGGAAGGAGGACCAACTGAACTAAGATCTGGAATACAGAAAATCTTTTTGTTTTTTAGAAATTTTATTGGGGAACAGTGTGTTTTTCCAGGACCCATCAGTTCCAAGTTGAGTAGTTGTTTCTTTCTAGTTTTGGAGGGCGCAGCCCTGTGGCCCACGTGGGAATCGAACCAGCAACCTTGGTGTTATGAGCCTATGCTCTAACCACCTGAGCAACCGGCCACCCCTAAAGAGAGTCTTTTCAGGTAAAGAGATGATATACTCAGTGCAATTCCTACACAATCCCAACAGGCTTTATTTGCAGTGAGTGAAAAAACCAGTCTTAAAATGTACACGGAAATGCAAAGTGCCCAGAATAGCTGAAATAATTTTTTTTTAAAGAACAAAGTTGGAGGATTAGTCCCTGATATCAAAATTGACTCCTAGATTGCATTAATCAAGATAGTGTGGTACTTTAAAAAAAATTTTTGTTAAATTTATTCAGGTGACATTGGTTAGTAAAATTATATAGGCTTTGGGGCTGGCCGAGTGGTTCAGTTGGTTAAGAGCTTGCACCAGAGTTTGAGCTCTGAACAACAGCGGTTCGATGACCGGCCCGAGCTGAGCTGCCGCTGAGCTGCGAACAGGTGGCAGGATGGCTCAGCTAAAAAAAAATTTTTTTAAATCATATAGCCTTCAAGTGTACAATTCTATAATCGTTTATATATTGCATTGTGTGTTCACCATCTGAAGTCAGATATCCTTCAATCACCTCATTCCTTTTACCCTCTTCTATCTCCCCTCCTCCCCCCTTACCCTCTGGTAACCACTAAGCTGTTGTCTGTGTCTATGAGTTGTTGTTTGTTTGTTGCTTTCAATTTTATATTCCACATGAGGAAAATCATATGGTTCTCACCTTTTTCTGACTTATTTTGCTTAGCATGATAATCTCAAGATCCATCCTATCGCAAATGGCAGTACAGTAAAACCCTGGAATGTGAGTAACTTGGTTTACGAGTGTTATGCAAGACAAGCAAACATTTCTATTAGGTTGGTGCAAAAGTATTAGCGGTTTTTGCCAATACTCGTAATGGCAAAAACCGCTATTACTTTTGCACCAACCTAATAATACATTTTAACTTGGTAAACGAGCAATGTCTTGCAATATGAGTAGTTTGTTTCTGGAATGAATTATGCTCGCAAACCGAGGTATTACTGTATTTCATCTTTTCTTATGGCTGAGTAATATTCCATTGTCTGTATATATGTACCAGCAATCCCTCTTCTAGCTATCTACCCCAAAAATCTGAAAACATTTATCCATAAAGATATATGTACCCCTAAGTTCATTACAGCATTATTCAAGGTGGCTAAGACAAGGAAACAACCAAAGTGTCCTTTGATAGATGACTGGATAAAGAAGGTGTGGTATAGGGCCAGCTGGGTGGCTCAGTTGGTTGAGCGCAAGCTCTAAGCATCAGGTTCGCCGGTTCGATTCCCACATGGGCCAGTGAGCTGTGCCCGAGGAGAGCTGTTGCTAAGCTGCCAATAGGTGGCAGGATGGCTCAGCTGGTGAGAGCACGTGCTCCTAACAAGGTTGCCGGTTCTACTCCCGCTTGGAATGATGGGCTACACCCACCAGCAACTAAGATTGAACACGGCACCTTGAGCTGAGCTGCTCTGAGCTGCCGATGGGTGGTCGGATGGCTCAGTGGTTAGATCCTACTCTCTTAGTAACAAGGTTTCCAGTTCTACTCCCACATGGGATGGTGGCTACACCCACCCACAACTAAGATTGAACATAGCACCTTGAGCTGAGCACCCACAAGCTGCCAATGGGTGGCCGGATGGAGACTGGACTCAGAGCTGAGCTAGCTGCGTCCACCATAACTAAGACTGAAGGACAACAACTTGGCTGTTCCCCTTCCCCAATAAAATCTTTTTAAAAAGAACTCAAACTTTAAAAAAACAAAAAAAGGTATGGTACATATACACAATGGAATACCACTTTGCCAAAAGAAAAAACGAAATACTGCCATTTGCAACACATAGATGGATCTTGAGATTATCATGCTAAGCAAAGTAAGTCAGACAGAAAAAGTCAAACCATCAGATTTCACTCATATGTGGGATAGAAAACTGAAAGCAACAAATAAGACAAAAACTCATAGGCACAGACAACAGTTTAGTGGTTGTCAGAGGGAGTGGGGAACGTAGAAAAGTATAAAGGGAGTCAAATATATAGTGATAGATATCTGACTTTGGGTGAACACACAATGCAATATATATGATGTATTATACAATTGTACACGTGAAACCTATGTAAGTTTATTAACCAATGTCGCCCAAGTAAATTTAATTTTAAAAAAATACAAAAGAAAAAAGCATATAGCTAAGTGAAATAAGTCAGTCAGAGAAAGACAAATATCATATGATCTCACTTATACGTGGATTCTAAGGAACTGAATGGATAGGAGAAGTGGATGGAGATAGTCTCAGAGACACAGAGGAAGAACTGAGGGTTGCTAGTCGGGAGGGGGTGGGGATGAAGGAGA